GCTGACGCCTGTCCGACTGTGTGTCTGGGAGTAGCTACAGCTGCAGCAGCAACAGGAGTGGCAGCAGCAGCAACAATAACAACAACAACAACAAGAACAACAAGAGCCAGTTGCAACGGCACGCATACATGCATTTCCGCATCCGCATCCGTTTCCGCTTTGTGCATTGGTAAGCAACTGAAAACAGGCAGCAAACATATACAAACACACACGCACAAGCACACACACACACACACACACATGGGCACATACACATACGCCCATAAACATTACGACAGCAACAGACACTGAGTGGTAGGCAAAAAGACAGCCGGCAGCAGCAACAACAATAATAAGCGACAGCAGCTGAAGGCTACACCTGCTGACTCAACTACTAGATACCCTGTAATTGGTTCACAATTGATTTGCTATGGATATAAAAAACAAGTCGAGTCATGGAATTATTTTTTCTACTATTATAAAAATCCCTTAAATCAAAACTAATTAAATTGAAATATATCCATCAATTTTTACCAATTATAGGGGATATGGAATCACGACACAATACATTCAATTATCTATACTTATCGATTATTGTTATTGATTGATTGAAGCAAAGAAAAATACTTGCCAATTGTCAACTCTATAGATTATTCATACCCTTCATTTTAAACTTGAAAGCGTGCAGGGTATAGCCCAACAGAGACAGCGACGGCGGCAACTGTCATGGGTTTTATGGCCACATTTGCCAATTGTTTGTTGAATTGTTGACGTAAATGTCACTCGAATGAAAGGCTCGTCGTCGTATGGCTGGGCATGGGGCGTGCGACGTGGGCGTGGCACTGCCAGCAGACATGCCTTGTTGCCTTCTTGCTTCACATTATTATTGTCACCACTTTTGCTGCTTCTTCTCGTGCTTCTCGGCAGCCGTCAACGCATCCAACGGCATCGTTAATCTTGCTTAAGGCACAGCCATAGCACAGTTTTTGGCCCAGTCCATATATGGGCAATCCGCATTCCGCACCTGTTTGAATTGCGACTCCTAAACGAGAGAAAACTAGCTGAAAGAGTTGCTCAAGCAAAAATTAATTACATAATGCGAGGTGTGCACGAACAGTTAAAGAGATTAAGCTTAATTAACTACGATTCGAAATAGTAATTCATGATTATAGGGTAAGGGGTGAAATAGGTAGACTATGCAGAAGTGTTAGTCCCTAAGAGAACCGTAGATCAGAAGAAAAACTGCTATCTATGCCATCTAATAATTATAAATAATTAATGTACAGGATCAATTACATCATATATGTATACATATGTATATTATTGAGCAGCTTAATGAGAAAATCCTCATATATATCTACGTATGTTTATCTGAATCTCCGTCTTTCGTTCTCTCCATCTGTCACTCTATTTGATGCTCTCCCACTCTCTGCCTGCCTAATAGCAGCTATTGACGAATAAGAACTTTAGATCATTCGACTTATCTATATGTATGCAGCAGTATTCAGTGGGCATTTATATTGGAGTAAAACGAAGCTCGAATGCTCGCAGCAGCAGAGAATGTTCCCATTGGTCACTTAAGGCTCGACTGCAACGATCTTTCTCTGGCACCGGGCTCAACATTTGAGCGAGAAGCAGCCCTATATAAAGGGCAGCAGCTGCAGCATTTCTTCAGTAGCCTAGGCCTGATGAGGTGAGTGGTGGTGCAGTGCAGTAAAGTAAAGTGGAATGTGTGAAAATATATAATGATCGATCAGCGAAGCGAAGAAATACGTGGAGGAAATACTTGAAGGAAATAATTGGAGGAAATACTTAAATAAACACATACATAGAAAAAATTCGCAGAATAGGATTACTTAGATAAACTACATAGAATAATACTTTATACTTATGCTCTACTGACACAAATAACAGCACATGCACATACATACACGCACAGGCATCCAACGCATCAGTCTGCAGGGGAACTTACTTGTAACATACGTTTATCAAAGCCCATATACCCTGATTTCCCACAATCAATGCGGTAAGGATATAAGAATACCCTTACATTCAGGTTTAAATCAGCTAGAAAGATATACAATATATTGTATCGTCATGTAAATAAATTGATCGCATTATCTCCTTGAATATTATGTCATTTCCCTCATTTTTGTTATTCATTTTTGTCAACTGAAGACAGTTGGCGTCAAAGGCTACTGACATTCCATTCATACAGCTGCAGAACAATTTTTTTTCCTTTTGTCTTTTTTGTATTTTCTGTTTAATTTACGTACATGGCAGTCTCTGCAGGTCGACATTCCAATGCTCGACGTAAGCAGCAAACGACCAACAAACTACAACATGGAAAATATTAAATTTATTATGAAATTTATATATACAGGAATATATATACATATATGCAATATATATGTATGTATATGTCTGCATACATAGGTGGGTGCAAGTTGGTCTGTTTGCTGCCAATAAAATATATATATTTTATTTTTCATGAAATGAAAGGACACTTCGTAAATAGGTCAACTTGAACATACAGTACGGAGTTTGAACTTTTCGCTTGATGTGCAATTGAATTATATCTGTGCAACAGGATCTAAGAGACTGGAAAATACAAAATATATAAAAATGTTTGAGGTTTCACACAGCTACGCAAATCAAATTGTGAGTCTCCATTTAAGTTTTCTCCAACTTAAAGTGCTTTAGTCAAAACGAAACTGCAATTTATTTTAAGTAAATAAATATGTAAAGTGTATACAAACAGAGCATACTCTCTTTTTAATATAAATCCAAAATCACATACTTTAGTCACAATACACATTCGTTGGCATTTCGGCATGCGAATTGCAGAAAATATTTTAAAGGGCCACAAGCGATTCAATTATTCCATTAATATTAATGGCATAATTATTATTGATGTGACTACCATTATTAAATATTAAAGAGTAGAACTGAGAGAAGCTTACTGCCAATAGAAAACTCAAATCATCTGCCTTATTAATGTAGGAGAATCTTCTAATCTAACAAACCAAATGTAAATGCTCTATGGTCATTGTATGTAGGTCGACTTCAAGTAAGCTTAAGTTGAAACTACAGCAAATATGGGGCAGATCGAATTCATTGTAATCGATAACTCCAGATTGCTGGAGATTGCTTACCCCTTGAAGTAACCAAATCCTCTGCTTTCTTGCTCAAACTGACCTCGTTAGGCCAAGACCAAGTGGGCGAGTGTAATGGTTGCACTAACACGATGTCCAAAATTGATGGCCCATAGAGCGAGAAGGACTGCGGCTGGAGGTGGCGGTAAAAGAGATGGCGATAAAGTGCTGCTGCTGCTGCTTTTGCTCATGATATACATACCTTCCGCTTGGCCGCCAGTTGCTCCAAATGCAGCGGGTGATGTTTGCATTGCGTCGCAGTTATTTTCTTTTTTTTCGCGTTGGTTTTAATTCAATTTAACAATCGCGTTTTTCTCATGCACTCTTCACTGTTTTTCTTTTTTTCTCGCTCTTTTGCTCCGCCGCTTCTGCTGCGCTGTGTGTTTTGCATTGTTGCTGCCAACGAAGCGAACCGGAAGTTGCACAGCGGCAGCAGCAGCAGCAGCAGCAGCAGCAGGAACAACGGCAGCAGCAGCAGCAGCAACAGCAGCCATTAGCGCAAATGAAATTGGATTTTGTGCCCCAAACACTCAAAGAAATTTAATCAAAAGACGCCCTGCATGCTCCATGCCATCCGCCATATTTGGCACATTTTTATTCGCCTTGCATTTTTTATATAACATAATCATTATTAAATCGAGTGCAAATATCTCAAATATTTCTACTCTTGCAATGCTCGAGAAATGATTGCAGATCATATTTTGTTGGCAATGCCACAAGCAATAAGAGTGGGTCGATAAGCAAATATCCTTCAACAGATGCCATATCGGAGAATGTATCTACATTTATATACCTTACCTTATTTCCTTATTTCAATATATTTACTATATGTATTATGATCAATAAGATCTAGACAGAAAGATTTAAATGTATGCTGAATCTATTCCCTTCCCTTCATATGGTATATACTAACATATATACGATTCGATTTGATTCATATGATGTACTCACGTATTTGCTATAAAGAAACTGCAGCTCACCTTAATAATGCCCAACACATTCAACTTGTGCAAATGAAAATCGACTCAAACTTAAACTCCAGAGCTGATGGACGCAAAAACTGAGTATCTGCATAAAGCGTGCAGGAAATCGAATGGAAACTTTGCCTGCTATCGATGAGATATTTTGACTATAATTCAGAAGTGTATAATAAATTTCAGCAGCTCGGTGCTTGGGTGCTCTCTGCATCTACAACAAATTTTACTGCTTTTCATTTTGTTTTTCCTCCCTCCTGTGGCTGCTGTGCGCCCCAGGTGAAGTAAGGGAGCCAAATGGAAAATGTGCATTTTGTTTATCCCTCTGGATTTTTCCTTCTGACCAAGTTATCCATAATTACGGTAACGATCGTATAAATGCCTTGGATGAGCAATGCTGCAGACATCTTTGCTGGCTCACAATGCAAAATAATTCCAGCACGCTGCGTCGGTAATTCAATTAATTGAGGCACTTGGCTTGTGTGTAATACATATCTACAATTAATTATAATTGCCTCACAATTGCATCGATTTCATCTTTGAGTTGACTCGCAGCATTCCGGAAATTAGCATCAATTAAGTTTTACATAAATACTTATTTAAAATAAAAAAATACAATTATTTAAAGCTGTAAACAAGAGGCATTTCAATATAGTCGGATTAAAAATAGGATTTTAATTATACTTACACTATAATTATATTATTTTGAAATGCAAATGCGATAAATTTAACACTTGAAGTAATGAAGTGGTTTCGCGTTAGTTCACAAAATTCGGTTTATTTCTTACTAATGTATAGCATTATCAGTCGGATATAAATACACATAGAGAAAGAGACACAGAGCGAGAGAGCTTAAGCACACACAGTGAAAGCGAGGGAGAGAGAGACACATATACAATGACATTTAACTATAACTAAAACATTGATTATCTAGGCTAATAATACATTTAAAATTTAAACGGTGCGTCTCTCGATTAATTAGGTCCAGACAACGCGTTTGCGTGCAAACTTGGGCGGAACGGCGTTCTGCGCATTGACCACGTTAAATGAGCGCGTGTTGTGTAGGCGTGGCGGGTCGACGTTGCCACGCACGGGCGGCAGATCCTGCCAGACATCCAGATTGAGATTGGTAAAGGAGTCGCTGACCTTGGGCATCAGCTCGTTCTCCTCGCTGAGATCGGCCTGACTGAGAGAGGCGCTTGGCTGTTTCGGCTTATCACATGGCACGTTCTCGATGGCCTCTGTTGAGCGTGGCGACGAGAGCTCCTGCTCTTTGTTGAGCTGCTCCAGCTGCTTGGTGGTCTGCTCAATGCCCGCCAGGTGGGTGGCGCGCAGCTCGACGATCGACTCCTGCTCGGCGACATTCTCGCGCAGCATGCCGCTCAGCAGCTGCTGCTCCTGCTCGATGATTTTGTTGATGTCGCTGAAGCGCCGCAAGTGCTGCTCACGCCAAGTCTCCTCGAATTGCTGCAGCTTGTATTTGGCCTCTGACTCGTACAAGGCATCGATTTGACCGGCGGCCAGTGTCTCGGCCTCTAGCTGCTCCTTACACTTATCCAGCACCTGCTGCAGCTCCTCCGGCTTGATGGCATACTTGGCCATCCGCTCGAGCATGTTCACGCAGAGCGAGATCTGCTTGCGGAATGCCTCGTTGCGGTTGCGTATGAAGAGCTTGATTTTATTCAGATTGTAGGCCTGGTTGACGTCCGACTGGCGCAGCATGAGAGACGTGGACTCCTCCAGCAGGTTCTTCTCCTTTTCGAGCTCGGTCATGAAGAGGCGTAGGTGTTGCTCCTCCTGCTTCAGCTTCTCCGCCTGCTCCTGGCGCTCCTTCAGCTCCGCGACATGCGATTCCTGGAGCGCGCGTATCTCCTTGATTTCCTGCTCGCGTATGAGCTGGCGCTCCTTCTGCTCCTGCTCGGTGCGACTGATCTCCTGCTGGAGCAGCAGCTTTTGTTGGGCAATGAGCGCCTCGCGCTCCTCGCGATGCTGCTGCTGCTCGATCTGCTTGTCCAGCCAGTTGAGTTTGGCCAGCACCTCGTTGTTCGACTTGGACTGGAAGAGCAGCTTCTCGTCGTCGACGCCGTGACGCCAGCGGCCGTATAGCTTGGCCTCCATTTCCAGTTTGCGCTTGAGCTGCTCCTGCTCCTTGATGGACTGGTTAACGCGCTCCAGAGTCTGAAGATCTGCAGTAGGTTGACGAGGCCGACGCTTGCGTCCGAGCTCCTGATCATACATGTCATTATCCTGTTCCAGCAGCTGGCGCAGCTTGGCGCGACGCTCGCTCAGCTCCTGCTCCTTTTGCTGTTGGCTCTTTTTCTCCTGCAGCTTCTTGTCGGCCTTCTCATAGTAAGCCTGATTAGTCCAGTTCTGAAAGCGTGACGTCACCTTGCCCCAATGGTCGTAGTAGCGATTCACCTTGTGTATGGCCTCCACGCGATTATTCTCCTGCTCCTGGCGCCAGGCATACGCCGCATGCTGATAGTTCAACCGGCCCGACATGTCCTGCAAGCAAAGCAGAGAAGAGAGAGAGAGAGAGATAGAGAGAGTTTGTGTGAAAATTGTGACCAGCTGAATGACAAGTTCATAACTTCGAGACCTAGCCGTGCTCAGTCGTGCCTGAAGATGATGAAAAGCCAACGAGATGCCTCCAGTAGCAAAATAAAAAATATAAAATATAAAAAAAATAAACTTCAATTTGCCGTTTGAATGCGCTGAATGCGAATTTGTCAAAAAGCACAAACATAAGAGATATTAACTTTCAGAAGAACACACACTTGTATTTATTTTTATTTTTATTTTTATTTGAAAGTTATTGATGCTTCAAATGTCGCACAGTCGAGAGGAAAATAGTGCTCTTTGAGCTTTTAGATTATAAATATCAAAGTGCTCTGACATTTGGAACGAGTGTGGAGCGATGGGAGGCAAAGATTCAATATAACAAAACAGATTGAAAACTAAGGCTTATTTATTGACATCACATATGTGGCATAAATATCATCTGCAAGCACTTTAATACTGCTGAGTGTACTTCAAAGCAGCTCGATTCAATTCGGGTCTGAGTAAATATATTTCGCTCGAGCAGCCAAGATAATGAGAAGTATATTGAGATAACTTTGATAGCTACGATTAGTCATAAGATGATGCCTTAGCAGCTTAACAAATATAAACAATTCCAACTGCTCCTTTTGCATGCTGAGCAAATGCAACGTAACGAGAGCTCCTGCAGGAGCCGGAATATGCATATTGATTCCAGCTTCCTTTGCGTGCAGCGCACTCAGGTAAAACCATTCCAGCGGGCTTTCGCTTAAGTAACTGCCAGGAAGCTGTTAGTTTTAAGCAACAGCTGCTGAACTGGGACTAGATCAGGCCAGCCAGCCAGGCGAACGTCTCAATCTCGGCCCGGGCCGGGCTGGGTCCGCTGTATCGCAGCACGCCACCAAAAATTCAGGCTTGTTAGAGATTAGATATGGCGCGCTTTACGCTGGCCATGGCAGTTCGCTGGTTTTTTTTCCCCTAGTTTTCGGTTTCTGCCTGGCAGCAGCTGTCACTAACTGCCAAGCGAGCAGCCAGACAGCAGGCAGGCGTAAGAGCAAAAGCAAAAGCAAGAGCAAACCCATCGTAACCAACCAACCAGCCAGCTATACACAAACTCGCAAAAGCTGTTGCTTGGTGAATGTCGCCACCACACGCATACCACGCACACACACACACGCACGCACACACACAGACAGACACTCCGGCTCCTGGGTTGATTCCAGCGAGTTTTGAGATACAGGCAACTGTCCATCCCAAGCGTCCATCCATCAACGTGGCCCCATTGCAATATGTCAGAGGCCTGAACATTGTGCGTGCCTCGAGCTATGTTTCGGATACCGCTGAAAAACAAACCAACCCACCCACCCCCAACCGTCTAGCACCACCATCCCAGCACATTCGCCGGCATCGGGATGCAAATTGACGTTGGCGTTGCGTGGACGGCGGGCTTGCTAATTTTCTGCGAGATTTATGGGCAGCACGAAGCGCATTGATATATGCCAAATTGTTTACAAATTGATTACATTATTAATAATGCCCACAGCGGTGGCAGCAGCGGCACCACAGCAGCACCACAGCAGGCACCACCCGTTCGCAGAATGTTGCCGTTTGGTTTATACAAAATGCATAATATATTTCCCACAAAGTACTTCTTATGTCATGTGACTGACAAAACTTTGCCAATAAATCAAGCAACGGTGCGAGCAAACTGGCTGGGGAGGGGCAGGAGCTGGTCGGTTGCTAGGAGTGGCACACGTGTGGCCGCCCACATTTCAATCGAGCGGGCGACAGTTGAGCCCACAGCTCAAATGCCAAGATGACGCCCAAATAGACTTAATACACTTTCGGCACACCAAATTCACTTCCTTAATTGAAATTTTAATTTGAATACTTTGCCAAAGTTTTGGCATTCAGCCCAGGATCATAGAGTGGAGTAGAGAAGGGGCCGTGGAGGAAGGCGTGTCACAAGATACACACACACACATTCACACAATAAGAAAAACAGGCAAACAAACAAGCAAAAGTCGCTGCTGTCGCCAACAACGACCAACCAGTCAGCACAGCCAACAGTTTCCCCTGCTTCCCCTGCTTCTACTCCTGCTGCTCCTGCTGCTGCTGGCTGGCGTCTGCTCGCAGACTCCTGGATATACAGCAATCTCACAGGCTCAGCGCTTTTCAATTTACGCGCCGCGCAAATCGTTTGTCATTTTATGTATGCCTTAATATATGGCATGTGCGTGTCGTGGCGCCCGCTCTGCCATCAGTTAAGAGATCTAAAATACCACGCCTCCCCGCCCACCGGTAGGTAGACCACACTCCGTGCCCTCAAGAACGTAATTTCTAACCCAAATGGTAACCAGCCAGCGTAACTAATCCGCCCAGGCAATGATATAAGCGCCAACTGATGAGTCGCTGCTTGCCAAAACTTTGCCAGATGTATATATTCAGATAAGCACATGTGTATGTATGTATATGTATGTATAAATGTACGGCTATATAGATGAAGTTGTATTTCTGACTTTGCTCGTCACGGAAATTTTAATTGTCACATTATGCTTAAGAACTTTGCAGGCCAAATGTGCTACAATTCTAATAATCACGTTAGGGGTTTATGTGCTTTGAAGATGATCAGAAGTCGGTTCACTTATGCTAATTAAATTATAATAAAAATCGAATTTTTTTTAATATTTAAATTTGATGTAAAGAAGCTAGCGATATTTTTATTTATTTATTTATTTTTATATATATTTATTATGATTTTTCATTTGAATTTTAACAAGAGGTCAGCCAAGTCTTACTAATTCCCTGCCTCTAATTGCTATGCAGTCTTAAAATAATTAATTGAATAAATAATAAGAAAGTCATAGAGATCACATATATGATATTTCGACAAACCATATAATAAGTGATACAACTCGGTTCTCTATACTACCTACTCCAATCAGATGACTCGCAATACTAACTGATCCAATCAGAGAATCTTTGTTTGAAGATCCAAAATTAAATACGAGTTTGCACAGCAGCAGATAAGCGTGACACTAATGACTCGACGACTGGAACCTGATATGTGTGAAGCGAGCACAGCTTGCTTACGTATGTTTAGCTAATATACATATATGTATATGCGCATATATATAGAGCACATAACTCGGACGAGTTTGAATTGAGCCAACAGCCTGGCTGCGCCCATTGTTCGTTAATTAAGTCATTTTGGCCGATAAACCGCAGGGCAAGGTGTTTTCGGCTTGTAGCCAAATGGGCGGCTGCTTGAACAAATAAATTGCAATTACTTTTGCTAATTGTAATAGACGCTTGTCATTATCTAACAGCTGCATAGATAATGCTTCGCCTTCTGGTGAATACCCTAAAAACAATGTGATTTTTATGGCTGTGAACCTTTGAACAAAAAAAGAAATACATATGCACGTATATAGATATGTATATGTATATATAGTAATATATAAGTGAAGAGCGTGTCAGACCGCAGTTAGCGAAACATAGCACTTAATACTCTGATAAGATGTACGATTAGCGGACAGTTGCTTGGTAAATTAAAAAAAAAAATTTATATAAGACCAAAGAAGAGAGCAACAAATGTGGAGCGAGAACACACGCTGCTGATATACCTTAACCACGAAAACTTGGTAGCGAATATACCAAGTAACATAGGTATGCGAGAGTATTCATAAAGATATTGTAGAATTTCTGATCAAATACCACTTATTCATGAATACTGAACGTCGCTGAAACTAAGTACATACAAAATACCATTTTATTCATGGATACTGAACCCAGATAAGTCCATATATATACATACAATCTTAGCGTTAATTGAATCGATATATCTATATACGTATTTAAAGTAAGATTTCAAGTATTTCTGCCCATTCTTTTTAGCTTAGGCCTACTTTATAGAGTGTTACACATGCCCCAGTTCAATTTCAGGGTATTTAGCGCACTAAACGGCTTCGGCATTGGCATCGACTCTTCGAGTGTTTCGGTTTCCCGGACACGCTTCGCATTGTTGCTTAGCTGTTTTTCAGAATTGTTTTGGTTGTTAACGACATTGGCACGACGATGGGCGACGAGCGGTCTGAATGTGGGTCGGTATCTGGCTCCAATTGGGGGGCCTTACACGCCGTCACATGGCAAGAACAACAACAACAGCCGCAGCCACAGCAAGAAAAGGAACAGCAGCCACTGCGTATAATTTGTGGTAAGTGCTGTGCCAGCAAGACAACTAACTATTTGAACTACTCGATGTGTCTATTGTGACCTCTACGTCAAAATTTCCCCCTGTTTGCCCTAACAAAATAAACTAAATAAATAGCGAAGTGTGGGGGGTTTTTCTCGCTCGCGTGTTTACCTTCCCACATAAACACACAGAGCCAAAAATATTGGCTAGCAAACGACTTAAATTTCCTTTTGATGATGGCCATCTGGAGGCTGCGGTAATCCCCCCAAGAACATACATATATATATTTAGCTGGTTGTGCGTGCTAGTTGAATGACAGATTGGCCTAATGAAAAGCAACCAGGAAAAACTAGCACAGCGAACCCATAATACACTACACGATGTTCTCTAACGAAATCAAAGTATGCATTGTTTAAGAAGTCAACTGTTCGAGCCAGATAAGAAACCCACAATAGATTAAACAATTCATTCATTTACGACTGTAGCTTGAAAAACAAGTTTCTTTTATTTTGAGTCAGAGATCTACAACTTTAATTCCATTCACACATTGCCAAAAATGTTTTAAAAATAGCAACATCTATGCCAATTCAGACTACGCTTAAAAAGACACTAAGTCATCTGCATAGATAAAAATACGTTCGATAACTAGATATATGAATAACAAATCTTATAAATGTCACAAGCGCTGTTACAATATGGAAATGCTTTGCAAAATATTGAGGAGCAGACAATGAAATACTGATATACAAAAACTGCTAATTTATCTATAAAAACGCAGCCCATTGACTAAAGCAATTTAACACACACATTTGCCCAGTGCTTCCCCTCGAAATCAACCAGGGGCTTCCCCAAAAAAATCCAGATGGCTCAAAAAAAAAAAAATGAGAGAATCAAGAAGACTATGGAGCGCGCGGGGCAAAGAAACGGAAGAGCAGCTTAGTGCAAGACAGTGATAGGCCATTCAGAAGCGCAGTTCACAAAGTTCAGGCAATCGATAAGATCTTGGGTAAAGAACCAGGGGATATACTCAAGTACAGATTAAAGAACTTATGTAAAATGTAGACACAGCTGTGACTTCCACTTGAATATGTACAATTGCTCAAGAGTTGTTAGCTAATGAACGCAAATAGTATTATATTTACATTGCAAAAATCACACAATAGTTGAAGTCATGGACAAAAGCTGGCTGCTATACACCTTGGCAACAAATCGTGTTTGCGAATCACTGACATATGCGCATATGTTTAGCTAAGATTTGATTAATGTTGCTCTAAACTTATTTTTATCGCCGCACAACCTTGCTGAGCCAACCTCATAAGCATAAGTTGGGCCTTTCACTCAAGGTGAGCCAACTATAAAGATTATTCACCAAAGAATCTATATATCTAATCAAATTCTGAAATCCAAGCAAATTGACCGATAAAATGTATATTAGGAACGACCTAGAACTCAATGACTTGACATTAACGAAGCAAATCGAGAAATATCGAGAATATCTGGGCATGTCGAAAATGAAATACGACGAGCAGTAGATTAATAAGCTGTTCCATTTGACAAGTCTTATAAATAGATCGCATTCGAATTGACAGTTCATACTACAGTCTGTCATTCATTTAATTTATACCCCGTTTTATACTCTGTCAAATTGGAAAGTACAAATGAAAATTTAACGAACCGGATGAGTGTCATTGGCTTCTATACTACACAAACCAAAAACACGATAAATGAATAATTAACAGGCGATTAGTTAAGGGCCCGTCAGACATGACTCATGCTCGACACTTTCGATTGGCCTATTGCAAAACATTGCAAGGTTCAGCCGTCATCCGCTACACGGGTTATCATTCAAGCCATCGAGAAAGGGTACTGCGAGAAGCGAAATAAAAATACCCGCAACCTGAGTGCATGCAAAAAGTACCGTTCAGCGGGCCATGTAGGCAGCAAAACAAGCGGAATGTCATGTTTTATAAAAGAGGTCGACTGAAAATTTTGCAAAATTTCACATGTAAATCACACACAGGAATTTGAACCTACATATATCAGCTCTAACGATGCGTATGAAATTCATTAGTATCGCGCGTGCCTCGCCAGTGAGAGAGATACCAAATCCCAGTGAATTGAACTGATAACATTATCAACAAATTGAGAGCTAGCCGATCGTAGCCGAAACGACGACAGCAACAACAACAACAACAACAAACGATTGAGCTGAGCGGAAGCGAGCACAGCGGAGCGGCAATGAGCGAATCGAACGAGCCGTAGAACAGCGACGCCGACTGAGCGACCGCGACCGCGACCGCGAAGCCGACGCAGACGTAGACGGTGGCGCTTGGTAATAAATTTCATACGATTTAAAATTTGTTTGGCATTGCGCGCAGGCAACAACAGCGACGCTGACGTCGACAGCGCTGGTGCGAAAAAAAAAAAAAAAAATCTCGAACGAAAACAAAAACCAAAATAATTAAATACATTCCATTATTTGCCTTCTTTTTTTTTTTTGGTACGAGTCTATAAACATTGGTGCGCCCTTATGCTGCCCAATCATTCGCTCTTCAGATTCGCCCGAACGCGAAACATAACGCAAAGCTAATCAGACAAATAATCAGACATATATATTTCAACAAATATATATGTATATAAAGCATGTGAACAATTGTAGCTCGAATATTTTTCAACCACAAATTTGCACAATTCTTGCCAAAAAGAAAACAAAATATATACATATACAAGCTAAATCAATACAAATCGAGTTAAACTTTACAAATCAATTTTAAAAGTTCCTAAGTTCGTTAAAAGAAGAAATTACATAAAATAAAGCAGTTCCTAAAACACGCAACACCTGCCAGTATGACAGCACTTGGATTACTTTTGCTATCTATGATGGGTAAGTGTGGGTTGTTAATGCCTTATCGCTAGGTCGCCCATGAAATATACACTCACACACACACACGCGCAAGCACACGCACACGCACACGCACACGCACACAGAGAGCAATTGCCGCTTATCGGTAATTTCTGCACGCCTGCTAAATGCCAACTGGAAATTGTTGTCAGCTCACCCTGTAAGCCGAGAGAGCAGAGAGAGAGAGAGAGGGAGACTGGAATGGCAGACGACAGCAACAGCGATGAGATATGCATCTTATACATTGGGTAATTTGTATACTCGCACTGCCGCTGCTCTACGTAATACACATACTATTCGCGAATTTATGTTTCAGATTGAGCGTAAATTTAATTACTTGCATTTAACAAAAATGTCATTTAGCTGGCAGCAAACCCGCACATGCGACACCCATACACACACACACACACACTCATTTATTGACAGCAAGGGAATTTTTTTTTATAATATGCACATTATAATTTATTGCTTCTGTATTTATCAATACGCTTTCATTAGGAGCATCAGATTAATGCAACACTGAATAACTTGCTAAGCATTAAGCGGAAACGACATACATATACATATGTATGTACATATATACATGCATATATTATATTTTGTATTGATAGACAACATTTCATAAGGAATTTTGTTATTTTTAATGAAGCATACAATAATTATTTCTTTAATAACAGTTTATTGACGTTTGACCTAAATTTGATTTGCTCATTTAATTGATTTCCAAGATTTAATGAGAATTCAATACTGAAGATAAATAAATATGCCTCACGTTAGCATTTCCTTTGAATTCCCAGTTTTCTTCATATTGAAATACGAGTATCAAAAATATAATTAAATTAAATCCTAAAACTTAGTTTTTCTTAGTTCTGTTTTGACGTAGGATTTTGGTATATTTTTCTTTCAATTTAATATAACATGTGAAATGCCTTAAAGATTAAATTTGTTCGTTTATCAATAGTTATAGTTTAATATTTCCTTTCCTGCCACATGTCAAGAATTTAATGCAAAGAGCTAAGAGAAAATGCCTACGGCAATACTTAAATATCAATTTAAAATTTAATAATTTAAACAGGCATTTTTATTTAATTCTCTGAAAAGTTTCAATATAGAGTATTAATATTTACACAAAAATTAACTTTTTTTTTTGTCATTGTCATTTAGCTGGTACTTTATATATATATATATATTTTTTTTAATTCTGCATGACTTCATTTGGTATATGTCGCTTTTCATATAATATTATGGCATATTATGGCATATTCTCGTTGTTCAAAAGAAAAATATTTGCTTAATGCGTATGGAATGCTCGCACACATAATGTGATTCCGCAGGTATGCATCAGTGTGGTGTGCGTGTGTGGTGGACGGGTGCGAATGTGTGCGTACGTGTGTGTGCTTGTGAATAAATAGCATATTTGATGTGCTTTGACTGATTAAAAGCAAACAAGGGGGCGCACGGGCGAGAAGATTGACATTTTGTGGCTGCAATTGAATAAATTAAATTCCTTCAATTATGAAACAATACTTGATCGGATGCTCAAGGATAACGTTTTATCAAATTATCAAAGATAGCACCACGGCTAAAGGTTCCTCCCTCTTGCCCTCAAGCCGTCTGTCTGCCACGTTCTATTTGTGTATGCCCCGAGTTATTTTCATTTGTGGCTGCAATTTTCTAGGGAAATACGATTCGGTTTCCAAGACACGACTCGAAGCCAATTATTAAATATCTCTCAGTTAAAAGTTGTTTATGCGTGGGCGTGACTGTGTGCGCGTGTGTGTGTGTATAACTGTATATTTAGGCTGTAGTTTGCAACATTGATTAGCACACAACGAGTTTAATGTTTACTTTATTAGGCTGCGCGTAATTAGGGCCAGTGATTAGAGGAGCGTGTGCAAAATTGGGGTTTCCAAGAGGAGCTCGAGCCGGCTGAGCGATAAATATACGATGGGGGAATTGAATGAGTGAAAGGGTGAGAGTACCAGAGAGTTTATAGACGTAATTAACGTGTAACACTACAATATACACACTAAAAGGCATAAATTAAATAGCAAACGATTTGACAGACAGCTTCCCTTTAACACGCTCTGTTTACTGTGCAAGCACGGGTTGCCAATAGACTTCGCTTCAGATTCAGCTTCAGCTCTAGCTTTAGCGCCAAATCCGAATCCAGTTCTCGTCTATCTGCTACATCCGTTTGGCAGGTGAGTCAGGATAGTCGCAGGTGCTAACAAAAATGTTTTCGCTCTCCAAACTTCTAATTAGAAACTGCTGCTGCTGCTGCTGTTGCTGTTAAGATAGTCAAGTCTTGAAGCAGCAGATCCTTCTCAGCGCTGCCCTCGCCTGGCCTCACTCACCACTTTACCAACTTTGCGTATGCATATAAATGCGCCAGAATGTGGGCGTGGCAGCGCTTGAGTTGCTAAAGTTGTCGACGCCTTGGCAAACATGCCAAATGGTTGCTGTTTAAGTTTCACTCTCCAAAGCAGACGACATCACACTCACACACACACACACACAAACACGCTGACAAACTAGCAAAAGCCCAGCATACATCCGCACATTCACTGAATTTTGAATGAAATAGTTTTTGGTCGGATTTATTTGCATTTATGAGTTGCGGGCTGAAGAGCAACCAGAAAGTCAACTTCGAAGGCCGGGCTTTGGCCTACAGACGACAGTGCCACAACTGATAGATGATACCACCTGTTGGCATATCATCTGTATAAAACTTTAGCCAAAATAAACGAAAAAAAAAAAGAATATGTTAGTCTCTCAATCCGAGTCATCATTATTTGTGGATTATCATACACACAGCAATTGAAGGCAGACAGCTGAAATACGCTAACAAATATAACCGAATACTACAATTATTATTACTCATAAATTAATAATAACAATGGATAATAATTTCATGTCTGTAGTTTTATCGATTTCACATAGCAAGTGTTGGGTAAAAATCCTAAGTAATTTAATATCGCCATCTAAATTAATAGCAATATTTTTCTTAATATTCGTTTCGAATGGTTTTGAAAATATTATTAATGTTTACCCTAGTTGTATACGTTCTTCTTCTTATAAGTAAATAATTGAATAATATAATATGACAGATAATTGCTTGACAGCTGAGACGTAGATCTTAATTAATTTATTTATAAAATAAAAAGTCCAAGACTCAGCAATTAAAAATATATTTAATACAATTCTTAATGAGGCTATATATGGAATTCACATAGCTACGCCTAAGTTAATAAGGAACTTTTATGAGATTGCTAATAAAGTACAAAAGTACTTTTAAATTCACTTAAAGCAAATTCTTTACGCTTATCTTGAAGAAATATTTGTTTAAATTTAAGAACTTTTTTTTTCCATAAAATTGTAGTTAAACATCTATTGATTACATTTGTATTCTCATAAAATCGTACTACTCGAAAAAAGGACACCGTTTATGTTTGGACAAACGCATATTTGCCTTGCCATGCGCTACGCAGCTTGAAGTGTATTAAACGTTTTAGTAAACAAAATAAATTGCCAAACAAACTTTTTGCATATTTTATATGAACCGAGGCCGGTTCATTAATTGACACGTTTGTCAAAGAAATACAAACAGAGAGGGAGAGAGAGAGAGAGGCAGAGGCAGAGAACGAGAGTGGGAGCAATGACGAGAGCAGTTCGGAGAGCAAGATTTCTAAAATGTGCATATTAAAAAAACAAAAAAAAAAAACAAATGATTATATCAAAGCCGATCAGAGCTTGGTTCAACTACCTGTTTGAGGGGACTTTAAACAAGTCCCCTCTCTGTCTCTCCCTCTCTCTCTCTCTCTCTCTCTCGCTCTCTCTAGCTTTCTGCACCCCTCCGTCCCACTCCTGCTCTGTGTTTGTTAAGCGGGGAATTTTTATTAGGCGAAACGAGTGTCAGTTGGCTCGTGTGCTTCATTGCGATTTCTCACCTCGTTGAGGCAGCACAGCCACACACAGAAAAACCACCAGCAGCAGCGGCTGCTGCTAACAAATCGACGGGGGAGTCCGTATCGAATCATTTATCAATGGCTACGCGGAAGCAAACCTGAAAGCGCGACTCCGCTAAGTTAAAGATAAAGTTTAGCAAACTCTTGCAATTAATGCTAACAAAGTTGGCAAAGACACACACACACACACACACACACACACATACATCAACGACTCGGCTCAGTGTGGGTGCGAAAATTGTAGCAAATAGTAAATAAACGAAATTGAAACTGAAAACCAAGTTAAACAAGTTAACAAACAACTAATGGTAAATCTTTGCTCTACAGGTTATAGCCAACACATGCAGCCTGTCGCAACGGTTGGTGGTGCGGGTGGTGCAGCAAGGAGCTCGCAGCTGTTGTCCCGCGCTGATTGGGGCGCCCGCATGCCGAAAGAGGTGAACTATTTTGAGGGACCCGCACCGTACGTCATCATACATCATTCCTACATACCCGCCGCATGTGTGACTACGCCGGACTGCATGCGCAGCATGCGCGAAATGCAGGACTTCCATCAGGTGGATCGCGGCTGGAACGACATTGGCTATAGCTTTGGCATCGGCGGCGATGGTCTGATCTACACGGGACGTGGCTTCAATGTGGTGGGCGCCCATGCGCCCAAATACAATGACAAGAGTGTGGGCATTGTGCTCATTGGCGATTGGAGAAGTGAGACCGAATACTACTATAGGTATTCCAGAATCTATACTAATCTCTATCTCTCTTCCTCCCCCTCTCTCTAACAGCTGAGCTGCCACCGGCTTCCATGTTGCAGGCCGCACAGGATTTGATTGCTTTCGGTGTTGCCAAGGGCTACATCGATCCATCCTATAAGCTGCTCGGCCATCGCCAAGTGCGAGACACCGAATGCCCCGGTGGTCGACTCTTCCAGGAGATCTCCACGTGGCCGCATTTTACGCAGCTCAACACCACCGCCGAGGTGCAGCCGGTGGCTAACAAGATTTAGGCCCACGCCCAGAAGCTACTTGAAATCAACGAGAGTCTCCAGCCCGTGAAGGCAAAGAGACGCCTATATACAGTATTTTTTAAGAAATAGAAAGAGAAAGCGAGACAAATAAACACAAACTATTAGCATTACAAAATTCAGCGACCGACGCCTCATTTAATTAAAAATTTACTGAATCGATTCGCGATTCGCAATTGCAATTTGATTGCGTTCAGCGACTACTTTCAATTAGTGCGACCTTTTATTTCGATTTGCTGTGATTTCATTAAAATTGTGTTTTATTTTGATTTTTACATTTCAAACTCTGCACTCATCAAAATGATTTACGAACGTCCTGGCAAGTTTTCAACTTGTCAGCGCATCAGAATAAAAACAGAAACCACAAAATTAAAAGTCAAAAAAACACAAAAATAAAATTAAATAAATAAACAGAAACAAAAAGTAAACAAAATAATGAAACTCGCTGCCAGAGTGACTTTTAATTTCATTGATTTGTTGCTATGATTTACATGAAGCGAAACTTAAATATGCGCAAAACACAACCAAACGAGCAAAAAACAAAATGTTATTTCGGCAGAAACAGAACAGCAAGACTAAAGAATACTCCGCATTTGATCAATTTATATTTTTATTTTTATAATTTTTTAACAAAATTTTAGCCTGAACTTTCTGTATGCACTTTAGTGGTATAATTCCAAAAAATATAAACAATAATTTTTCGGCTACTCAAAAAAAAAAAAAATATATATATATATATATATTAAAGGGTATGCAAAAAAGAGAATGCATATAATATTTAACTGAAATTAAATTTTTTGCTGTTCAAAAAAATGCTGGCTAACTTTTTATGCCCACCATAATTAGAGCAAATAAATATTATTCCATCTTTTATCACCTATGAAAATATATATATATGCAAACACAAAAAACGTTTTACGGCGTTCAATACATATATATATATAAGCGTAGGTATATCCACAAATATTCTAATTAAATTAAATTTAGATTAAAAGGTTTTTTATTACATTCACCAAATATCATAAATATTATGCAGTTCCAGGGTATAGTTAGAGGTATAGAGGTAGTAAATGATTTTCTGGCCCAAGCGCAAAAGTATGCAGCGCCAATTTTCGTGCTGCATTTAGCCCCAAAACTATGCGCACATTTTGTATTTATGGCTATATACCGCACATACATACACATGCATATATTTATGTATCATCATGCTCAACTGGGAAATCTAAAACAGAAGGCAGAACAAACAAAAAGTACGTAAATTGTTTCACGTGCGCCAGTTGAACAATTTGAAACTATCTTATATTTTATGTTTCTTCCCTCTGGCAGTCGATTTACTCGTGTTTTCATTACGTATACGCGCCTGGTGAAATTTAAATGCATGCAAATGACAGTGTTGAAAAACATGAAATTACCCAAAGTTTATTGTTTCAAAGCAGCTCGCACAGCACACATTCAAGTATTGTTGATTTTTATGCTGTCGCTTCTCTAAGTTTAAATTGTTTTTCTAACAAATTGAAATAATTTCTCGTTAAAAATTATCCTACACCCCTGCATGGTGACCCTTTCACACTTTCCACAAATTTAAAATAGAAATTAATTAATTAATTATTTATAAGTACGCCATAGAAAGCGAGTCGCAGGTCGAACGTCAATTTGAATTTGCATCTATTTTAGATATTTCAGTAATGTGACACCGAGAAGCGAGTGCCAGCCCGTTGAAGTTAATTGAAATTATGTGAGCTCAATTTCAGAGCCAGCGCTCTCTGAAGGTGTCTGAGTTTCCCCCATGGCATTCGCTGTGCATTCCCTTTGGGCTTCCATTCGTCCCTTAGTTTTTAAAGTCGTGGTCTCCCCATTTTTATTTTTTGCTTTTGCACCTTTTCATGCTGCATAACTCCGACTGCCGCAGCTTATCACATTTTTTTACATTTACCGCATTTTGTCATTTCTTTTCCTTCTCTTTTCAACGGAAATTTGGTCTTTATTTCTTCCTTTCAATCGGTTTATGGCTTGCACTTGAATTCCTTGGCCTACTTTCTTTTTTTGTTCTTTTTGGTTTTCTTTTTTCATACTTCAATTGTCTCGCTTTTTCTTTTCTTTTCTTTTCTTTTCTTTTCTTCGCGTCAATTCTTAATGTACCCCATCTTTTTAAACTATTCCCACTGCTTATCTGGGAAACCTATCTGCTGCCTCCCACCCGTTCAATTCTTACTTGTCAACTCTTTGTCGCCTTCGGTTTTTACTGCTATTCTTGCATTAATTCACTTTATTTCAAGTTTAATTACTTTTTTCTGGTATTTCCCCCAAGTCTTTCAGTAGGTTCTCAGCACAGTTTTATGGTAGATAATTATGTCTTGGCTGCTTTTTATAGCACGCAACATCGTGTCAAGTTTAACTATCTCTTTTCGGTACTAATAATTTCTATATTACTTGGGGTCAACTATTTCAGCAATAATTTTATTCCTTTTATTTATATATTATTTTTATAGTTGCAAATATGTTTCGTAGTTTATGTTCGAAGTTGGAGGAACTTTATTAGCATCATTCAACTTTTGATTACTAAAACTTCTAAAACAACATTTCTCACACTTTACCCTAATATATTCTGAGTTTTTGCATTAACTGAACTTCTCGCACTGGTTCACACAGCGCGAATGCAACTCAACTAATCGATATGCAATCATTTGGATACTAAAAATAAAATTTATCACGCACTAAACGATAGCAAATCGCTTAATCCCAGTCGAACGCAAATGTCAGACGCATTCAACAGATAGAACAGCGAGAATAGAGGAGTGAAACAACTGGGCGATTGCGACAATGTAAATATTGCAAAAAAGAACCTCAAGAGTTCAAGAAAAGCAAACATATTTAACAGGAATACAAAAGAGCAGAAGCAATAATGGGTTTGGATTTTCTAGAAGATTGGTTTTTATCACAGGGTAAGACGCCTTACGCCCTCAACTAATAACAAAAAAAAAAAAGACAACAACAACAACATGTGTATACCCACCCATCTAAATAGTTTGCGTAGCAAGAAACTTGCGTAATTGAGACCCATTTAATGTGCTCAAATTAAATGATAAGCGTTTCGCCTCTGCACGTCATATATGCAGACGCCGGCTACTCAAGCAAGACACTTGAGCTGCTACGAATATATATATATATATATATATATATATATATATACTATATGCATACAGATTCATAATTCCAGTTCCATTGAACTATGCTGCACCTGCCATAAGGTCAAAACGGCTGCGCGTCTCTCGGCCGTTCGAGCAAATGGCTAAAAATATTTATATTTTTCGGCCAAAATAATTTTCAATTTCATTTTTTCTAAATATTTTCACGAGAGCGAGCGGAGAACTTGCGCTGAGAGCGAAATTATATTTTCTTCATGTTGCTGTTGTTGTTGTAGTTGTTGTTGTGCTTTTCGAAATTTTCTAGCATTTAGCGTGCTGTTAAAAATACATGAATTTAGTTTTTGAAACGCCGTCATAGGCGCTGCGTGCCGAGCAAACACAATTGTAGCTAAACCGTGTCTCGTCGTATTCTGTGTTTATTTGCCCCACTGTGCCGCTGTGTGTGTGTCCGTCTGCATGCCCGTGCGCGTGTGTGTGTGTGTGTGTATGTGTATGCGTAGGCGTTCCGTGTATTATATGGGAAAAATCTGTCTATAAACAGCCGTAACTGCACGTTGCAGCTGCACTAGCCGAATCAAATAGTCAAATAAAATATTGAAAAATCATTAAGAAACAAAATCAAATCAAAGCGAATGATATTTATAAATAAATCTAGCGAAATGCGCAGCATGCCACAAACAGATTTGCATAGCCAATGCCTCCGATAAAACTAGACAGGCAAACTAACAAGAAATATATTAAAAAAAAAAAAAAAAACTATGAAATAAAAATATATATACACATATATGTATTTAAATTAAAAACAGTTTGCCGCTGAAAAAAAAAATATAAAAATAATTTAAAAATAACATTTCCTTTATATGACACATACTTTCTAATTATATCCAAAATTCAACCAATTTTTCTCTCCAAAACAAACTTGTTAAAAATAAATCAATATATACGATTTTCCTTTTGAATTGGATTTTGAATGCAATATTGAATAAAAATATCAACCGAGTGTTACTTAAAGCAGAGCTTTTCAATATCGTTAGGTTCCTCTCAAGATCCGAGTTTTCTTAATTGCAATAAGTTTCTCGCAAATTGCTGGCCATTAGGATTTAGAGGCTTTTATGTCGCGTCGTCTATATTATTCCGCCTCTCTAATGACGGCATATTTATAAGTAAAAATTTTCTATTTGCATGTCATGTTTAATTAACGCCTCCAAAAGCGAAGGCAAAACTGAAAATTTGTTGTTTTAATTTCAAAAAAAAAGAACGAAACAAAAAATTTGCAAAAGGCCGTTGCACGAATTGGAGGAATGGAGATGAAAAAAAATATAGAAAAAAAAAAACGAATGGATAACCATGGAAACTGGCAATGGAATGAAACAAATTCACATTTCATTCTCTGCTCTGTGTTGCTTTTTATTTTGGATTCTCTTTTATGTGTGTGTACGTGTGTGTGTATGTGAGCGTGTATATGTGTGTGCGTGCGTTTTCGTTTCATTGTATACTTTGTGAAACGAGGCAAAAGACGCAAGCGTCAGAGTCAGCACGGATTTTTTTCTTTGATTTTTTTTTTTGTTTTTTTGTTTTGTTTTTTTTTGTTTTTATATTCTCCCGACGCTTTTTGCTCTCGCTAGCACAAAGAACCTAAAATTAAATATTTTCGCCTTTTACATATCGGAGAGGCACATTGGCATAGCAAATTGTTCGCTGTCATTTGTTGCCATTGCTGTTGCTGCTGTTGTTGTTGTTGTTGTTGTTGTTGTTGTTATTGCAGCCTTTGTTAGATGGAATACAACTGAGCAACAGACAAAACTTGTTAGAGCTGGAGTGGAGAGGAATTTGGCTAATTTGAACAGTTTAGACGGCGTTTGTGTCTATATGACACAAAGGCCTACATTTTGCATAGTTTTTCTTTTTCGATTTTGGCCAAAACAGATACGCTAACAGAAGCAGAAAACAACAACAGCAACAACGGCAGCAACAGCAGCAGCAAAGGCAACAAATGCGCTGCCCAGCTAATGAGCGCATGCATTTATAAATAAATTCACGAAATGAAACATACCCAAATATACACGGAATTGAGAATTGAAAATATTTTAAACAGCTGTTGCTCATCGTCCCCAGCGTAGAAAATTTAAATAAATAGCACAGCAACAGCAACAACAACACACGAACGAAAATCAGAAGAAATATACATAGATATAAAATAAAATACAAAAAAAAATATATATACACGGCAATTTAAAAGAAAAAAGAAACAACTTTTGGACAAGTGTAGAGTGAGCCAAGTCTAGTGCCAACCACGCCCTGAGCACCCCTCGCTCTGTGCTGGTGCTAATGTGCAAAGTTTTGTGTTTTCAACAACAACAACAGCAAATTCACTGAAAATTATTTAAAAAGTGTGTGCAAATAGACGAACAACAACAATCTCTGGAGAATTAACAGAACGGAAAACAGTTGCTGCCCCCGCAATGCCCTTCGTGACACCCCGCAGCACAACAACAAGCGCTGGCAGCGCAGCTGGCGCCGGTGCTGGCAGCAGCACTGGCCGCACCACATTTCGCCCACCATGGGTCAAAGAGGATGCGGCAGCAGCCACAAAGCCGGCGACAACGCCTTGGGCCCAAAAGGCAGCTGCAGCTGCATCCGCCAAGGAAAATGGCGAGAAAACAGCTCCAGCGTCAGCAACAGCAACAGCCAACAGCAAAGCAAAGGCAACGCCAACATCCACAACCACAGCAACAGCAGCAGCAGCAGCAGCCAAGAAGACAGCTGAGCCAGCGAAAAAGACACCTGAGCCGGCCAAGAAGGCAGCCGTAGAGCCCGCCAAGAAGACCACAGCAGCAACGACAGCAGCGGCCAAAAAGCAAGCGGAGCCAGCGAAAAAAACCGTTGCCGAGCCGGCGAAGAAAGCAGCGCCCGAGCCGGTCAAGAAATCGAATCTGGTCACAAAAAAGCCCTTGGCCAAGAAGAAGGAGCCAACGCCGCCGCCCGAAAGCTCCTCTGAGGAGGAAGAAAGCGAAGAAGAGGAGGAGGAGGAGGAAACTGAAGAGGAAACTGAAACTGAAGAAGAGACCGAGGAGGAGGCAAGCGAAGACGAGGAAGAGGAAGACGACGATGATGACGACGACGACGACGATGACGACACCACGCTAGATGCCAAGGTGCCGGAGCACGTGAAGAAGGCCGCACAGCTGCGCCCGACGCCGATCAACAAGAAGCCGGAGGAAAGTGAGTTAACACAACGTTTCACCTTAGAGAAACCCAAATTGCGCAGCGTTGTAGTCAAGCGTGACAAATCGATGAAGAAGGTGGCGCCCGAGGATGACGACGAGGCTGTCGACGGCGAAACGGAGGAGGAGCGTGAGAGACGTTTGCGTTTCAAGCTGGAGAAGCCGAAATTGAGGCACGTGAAACGCGAGGAGAAGCCACTGCCCAGCAAGAGCACCGACAATCTGCTAAAGATCCGACCAGTTCTCAAAAAGGTACCCAAAGTTGATGAAATACTCAAAGAACCCAAAGAAGAACCCAAGCCCGAATTCAAGACCAAAACCCTGAGGAAAGCGCCCTCAATAAAGCGCGAACCGAGCATCAAAAATGGTAAGTTACGATCGTTACGAGCCAGCGCAACAGATCGAACCGCACTACTCCGGATACTAAACACCCGATTAACAACTCTAATGGATCGCCAAAATAAACAAAAACAAAAATGCTGTAAATATAATTATGACGCTTCGCTAATTGCCTAAAAATCCAAAACAAAATAATCGCGCAGTGGGCATTTCTCAAATACTAAATAGATATAATATACGACAGAGAATATATAATATAATGATATATACATATATATAAATATATCAATGAAATTGGCCGTGTGCACTTGTCGCATTGGCCTTTATATTGCCAGCCTCCGGATGTCTCATTCTCTCCCTATACCTATCTCTCTCGCCCCCGCACGCTATCTCTCCCTCTCTCGCTCTGGTCTTATCTATAGAAAGGGGGCACTAATATGTTGGCGTAAAGACAAGGCCGACAGACGTCACTGCGAAATGAATAAAATATAAGAGACAGGCGGACACGGCAAACGTAGCGTATGAGTGATATTTTTTTGTATATACATGTATGTATGTTTGTACTGTGGCAGGTATGCCTTATGAGTGTCTAGCAAATTAGGGATGGGTGCGTGAGCGTAAAAATATTAGTGTACACATATAGATACAGTCATTAATAATGTAAGCTCATAGCTTCATATTGACAATAGACTATTAAGGTAATCGAAAGGAGCTTTACTTCCCATCGTCAATAGAAAGAAAATTGACAGAACAATTTAAAAACTTTTATTCGCTTTGATACACTTATCTAATATGTGTTACATGGCTTTTATTCACACTATCCAGGCTGCATGTTTGCCATTCATACCGAAGGACATTCCCGACTTCAACATATCACATAGAATATTTCGAGTATGTAAGAAGAAATGTTTTGGTATGCGAAACAAATGCAATTCTGTTTTGCAGTTTTATTATGCATGACAAAATATTTGCAGTCATGAGACCATCTCTAGGCTAGCTACATCCTCTGTGGGTGCGCATACCTGTTACTCACACATGCATTTGTGTATGTATGTAAATGTGCACATGGGTCCACTTGGGTCCAACCGAAAAACGCACCAAGCGCCGTTTGTGTAAATATATAAATATATCTATGAGCATCGCGTAGTAGACGTATGAATATATGTATGTATGTACGAAATGGAAACATTTCATCAAAATATGTGTGCCCAAACAAAAACGACGACAAAGACAGACAAACAGGGCGACAGACACTGGCACACACACACACACAAAGAGAGAGAGAGTGAGAGAGAGAGTGGGCTGAAAAGCAATATAAATAACATATTTTATTTATTAAATTTTTAGTGAGTGCTGTGCATCGGGTCGAAAGAGGCGTAAAACTGTTTACCCACCCACCGATCGAAAGAGGCAAAAATACAAATTATTAAAATAGAAAAGGACAAGGATGAAATAGGAATTTTCCAAATAATTGAAAAGCTTGTAATATTCGAAATGCATTTTCTGGCTGCAGGCGTGCAATAATATTAATACTCAATTTGAGAATTATCACAGTGAGTTGCATAAGTTGGCAAATTGAAAAACGAAATCCCTCCCTGGAGGGCCAACGGAATATGAAGTGTAAAGCACATTAAGTGCCAGCTAACCGCAAAGGGTATCTATCTATGGGCAAAGGTGTGCGGCGAGGGTTCGGCTAACAGCCCGACAGCTACCATGTCCTAATCAGTGGGCAATAACGTGACCGCAAATGCGTCCTAATCTTTGTCAGGCAAACAAAAGGCAACTGGGACGGCAGGAGCGAAGCTCGAAGCTGTTAGCTTGGGTGGGTGGCATGGTGGGCATGGCGGGGCGGGTTGCAGAAGAACGGAGAAAAGGCAAGACATGGGCAGGTCACTCAACGAAATGGTAACCGCTGTGCCCAACGTTTGTCCTTTAAAGCTGTCGCATAAAAAAAAAAATGCCAGCACAAAAAAGAAGTAAAAGTATTTCTGTGTGAGGCTTACGACTAGCAGATACCCATCTATTAGAAGTGTGTTTATCTGGTCGTATATGTATAGAAGAGAATATGTGATTTATATTTCAAGAATAACATTTGGTGACTTTAAAAATAATTTTATAGATTTATATTAAAGTCCTATACTTGTTAAGTATCCAACTCCTAACCTTAGCTTATTAGTCTGAGAAAATACTAAGAACTAAGGGAGAATCAGTATACCCAATTTCATACTTATTTGCCATGGATATTGCGTATAAAAAAGCTAAGCAAAAAAAATAAAATAAAAAAAATAAGGCAACAATGCAGACAGCAAAGAAAAACATTTATTTAATGTGCTCGGACGACGTCTTGGGCCGACTTTCTGGGTGTTTTCATCTCTCTTTTTATGGTCTAAGTAAAATTCATGATTATTGCTCATTGTGTCAAAACTACAACATAAAGTGGAATGTTTAAAACCAGATGAGGATAGATGAGTGGAAAAGGCACTTTCTAGATGGTTTTTGTGTTTTGTTTCGTTTCGCCGAACTGCCCCTTAAAGCCGACAACTATCAATAGCAGCGCAGTCGAAGTGCAGAGAGAGAACTGTAGCAGTTCCTGCTCTTAAGGACAAAAGCTGGCCAAGATATATGGGCATGTGCTTGATATAGTCGAACTAAATGCGCCATTTATATTCAAATATACGCACTAAGAAAAAAAAAATGAAACAGACGAGAAAACGAACAAAATAAAAAAAATATATATAAAAAATTGGGCGGCTAAAAAGCCTTCGCAAATGTCTTCAAAGGACAAGCGAGTGGCCAAAAAAGAAATATATACACATACATATATATATGTATATTTTCTTTTATTTAAATGAGCCTGCTCTATACATTTACATATACGCAGATGTCCGGGTGTGTGTGTGATTGTGTTTAAAAACATGTAACGGCTGTGTGCTATATTCATTTCTTTCATTTCTTATTTGCTTCGTTCATTTTGCTTCTTTTTTTTTTTATTTATTTGGCTAGCATTAGAAACGTGAACTTTCAATAGGTGCGGCCATCGGGCACAAGCTTGGGTCTGTCAGGCACATAAAAGATGATGAGGCCATTTTGAAATTTTGACTAACGCATTCACTTTTGTCAATAATTACACTAAGCGACAGTAATATGGCCCAATAAACAAATAATTGCAGCACATTAGTTTAAATTACCTGTTAAGACTGCTTGATTGGCTTCATGAAATGTGTTTAAGAACAATGACTAGAGCTAGAACCGAGACGAATTCGATATTAATTGAGTGTTTATCAAGAGAAAACAAATGAAATATATAGGCACATTCAGAATAAATGATTGGAAGAGCAAGAATCAAGTTGAGGTCTTTAATAATTTATTGTATAACCATTAAACAATATTTAATATTAATGTTTCACATGGGCTGGTCTTACCTCAGCCAATAATGATTATAATAAAGTCCCTTTAATGCACCTTGCACGCATAGATGTTAATAATTTAGTAAATAATTGTTAGACCACATTCAATGTTAGTAATGTTTCTCATTCATTAGCCATATATTATGGCCATATGTGTGCATTATGCGCACTCTCCGTCGCTTGCTCTCTAAAGAGCGTAATTATTGCGCATTTTGCTTTGGGCGCTATTCGTAATCGTTTAATACACACGGATGTTCAGCCAAGCATGAGAATAGAGATGCTAATGTCCTCTACGAATTACTAAGAGAAAAATCATATAGAGAGCCGACAAATGTTTATATTCACTACACATGAGAACTATATTAAATATCATAGGAATGCTTCCTGCTCCCCTTTCTCCATTAGACCATCTGAGGAATATGGAATGCCTGAAATCCAGTAATCTATCGAACGCGCCTTTCTTAAAGTTAATCGAAATTTGTAGCGAGCCGTGAGATATTTGAAAATATTAACCATGCTGCTCAGTGTTTGTTAGTTGGTCACAAATGAACAGGCAATATATAGTTATTAACAAGATGAAAAACGTTAATCAGGGCGCTGGCAACCCGCCTGGGATTAGGGGCTTGTCAGCATGCGGGTCGGTGGCTTGGAGAGGTACTGTAAAATATGGCTGACTCTCCAAGCGGCGCTTCATCATGCCACAAAGCTCAGACAATGGCGTACAAAGTCAGTCATCAAACTGGAGTCCATGCTAATGCCCCCCAGCCCCACCCAGCCCCAGCTCCAGCTCCAGCCCGAGACCCGGCCCGCACCCCCAACCGCAGGCACAGCGTGATTCAATGACAACGGCAACATTTGTGTGCATGCATAGAATATTCTCTCGGTTGATGATAACAAAATGTGGGTTGTGACAGAAAGAGACAGACAGAGAGAGAGAGAGAGAGAGAGAGAGAGAGAAAGTGAGAGAGAGAGTATCCAGGAGCTGCGACAGTGGGTCTGGTCTGATGTTTTAGGGCGAGCTACACAAAATTTATGTTTACATACCCCGCTATTCATTTTGGCGTCGTTGTAAGTGCGGGCTCTTGCGGTATATTAAGTGGGTAGCATCAACTTGGAGACGCTGCTCAGCATTTTATTTAAATAAGAAATAATTTTGTCGACATGAATGAATGAATGAAGAGTTTTATCTGGCTATGGGTACGCCACAAGCTTCAGCTTGAGTAAGTTTTTTTTCTTTCTTACTCTTGGTCTTTGGCTACCGCCAGCGAGAGGGTGTCCCTGTTCGTGTCTGTGTGTGTGTGTGAGTGTGCACTGATTTAGGTTGGACGCTTGTGCCAGAGCTTTGCCATAAATTACTAAAACGAATTAAGCGAAACTTACTAAACGAGCGCTCAATTGGCTGCCCAAAAAGTTGACCACGTATTTTAATCAGTGACTACAAATGGCGCACAAAAAAGAGAAAGGGCCGCAAGGACGTCGGACTCCGGACATGGCACATGGTACGTGGGTGGAGCGGCAAGGGACATTAACATGCAGCCGGGTAGCTGCCAGACAATAATCAAGTTTGGCGCTGATTTCATTGAGCCAAAGTAACACGACTTCAGGATTAGTTTTCAAGCACCAGGTGCAGAGTATGTATACATATACATACAATACATATATATACGTATATATGGAGGGGGGGGAAAAAGGACTGGGACCAGCATCTAATGCACCACAAAGAGGCAGCCAACCACTTAAAGATTAAGTGCAGATTCAGCCAGGCGCGACTCGAGCGAATGGGAGCAAGTTAAGGCAAGAGTCGGGCGGAAAGGCAGGGAGGTAGGGAGGCATATTCTGAAGGCTTAGGAGTGGGGGCAAAGCTGCTTGCCAAAGTGCGGATTGGGGCAGATTTGTTGGCTGGCTGAGCCGAGTTCGGTGGGGCTGTGGGAGAGAGACTCGCTTCGGGTTCACTCAAACAAAGCTAATTAACAGATTTGTCAGCTTTTCATCACTTCGCGCACGGCCATTGTCTTACGACAGTTGTTTGACTTTTGCACTTTTTTAAGAAACAAACAAAAAACAATGAACGTCGCACAAGAACAACAACAACGAAAGGCAGGCCAGCAACCTGGACGGGGGCGTGACTGAAAAAAAAGTAACTGCAAAGAATGCAAAGTATTGTACACAAAGTGCGCACAGACGATACGGGTATAGATACACACACACACACACACACACACACACACACACACACATACATTTATAAAAAGAAACTCCTTCAATTGCTAATTACAAAGGAAAGAAAGTTGCTTGGAAAAGTCGGTGGGTGGCAGGCAGTGGGTGAGATTTGTGGAACTTGGCAACTTGTTAGGCCAGCAATTTAACTGGAAATTTATTAGAGACGAAACAGCTGGCAGCAGCAAACATTACAAGCTAATTGGCCCAGTTAACAGGCGGCGAGTGCGCATCACAGACTTGAAAACCAACTAAACTAAAACTAAAACTGAAAACCAAAAACCAAAAACCAAAACCAAAGGCGAGCCAAGCGCAACGCACAAAAGACGAAGGCTGTCAAGGAAAAAACAAGGAATACGGCAGCCCAGCTCGACGAATAACAAATTCACTATGCATTACATAATGCAATAAAAGAGATAATCCATATTGATACTGCTTATAGTCAAGCAAATTCAACCTCAGGTCAGGTCAATGCTCAGCAAAGCTTAGCTCAAGTCAAGAGACTTTAACAGATTAAATATTTACATAGATACCCCCCTCTTCGCCACATCGTTGGCAACACAATGCGAATACCCTGTAAATGAAGAGTAGCGCCGAATGCAATCAAAGTTTTCGTCTGCTGCAGCGCCACAGAGTGTGGCTGGTGTTTTGGAAGGGCGACGCTGGTGGCGCAGGAGGTGTTAAGGCAATAAAACAAATTGGGTACTGGGGTAGGTCGACTTAAGCGGGTAGAGGGCGGGGCGGTTGAGCCTGCGCCACGGCAGTAACTTTTCAATCTCTGCCAATGCAGTGAAACTTTCGACGCAAGACGCAATTGGAACGTAAAGCTAGTCCATCCCACATTAAACCAAACTCAATTGATATGTATGGCCGGCAGCTACAAAGCAGCGGAGAGAGGGCGGGCAGATTGGGGGCAAACTTGGTGCAAACAACAACTGACACAAATTGCAAACTCATTAAATTAAAATTATATTTAATAACCGCGAGTGCACGCAGCGCTAAACGATTTATACGCTAAAAAACAAGCTAAATAAAAACAACGAAAAAAGCTGAAAAAAAATTGCTAGACCATTCATCTGCAATTTCTGCTGCTCGCTAAAAACCCGCAGTTAAGCATCCATTCCATATATTTCCGTTACAGTTCCAGCGCCACCGCCGCTGCCCTCGTTGGTGCCAAAGGCTCCACCACCGCCCCCGCCGCCATTGGCGCCCGGCGAGAAGCGGGTGCTCAGCGAAACGCAAAAGCAAACGCTCGAGAAGCTCAAGTAAGCAAGCACAGCAGCATCCAGGCACATCTCAAGACTCGAGACTAAACCATCATTTATTTCATCCTCACACAGGTCACGACCACGCAGACGGCCGGACTGGTCCGAGATGATGAAGGAGGTGGAGAGCGGCAAGAAGCTGCGCCATGTGGCATGCAACGACAGGTGAGCAGCACTCATTAGCCACTCACTCGGTGCTCAATGATGGGTTACAAATGACTGAATGGTCGGCCCCAACAATCGATTACAAATTAGTTAGTCGCGCCGTGCAAACGCTGTATAACTGCCAGCTTAAGAAATAATAGCAGCTCACTTTGTCCTTCGGAAACCATTTGGCATTCAAATTAATGTGAGCAAGCAAAGAGAACCGAAGAGGGAACTTCTAAAAAATTTACATCAATTTATGCGAAAAGCTGAAGGTTTGAAAAGTTATACTGAAGATATAAAGAATGATTGGAAAAAGTATTTTTTTTTTTTTAATTTTGTTAATAGAACTCACATATAAAATATGCAAGTTATGACAATAGCTCATATTTGCGGAATAATAAAATAATAGAAATAATATAATAGCTTTATAAAAAGAGCACAGCAAAGATTTAACACACGTATAAAAACAAAAAAAATCCTATGAATGAACTTAAAAAGAGTTCACAGAAAAAAATAATGGGCTATAAAAATTTAAGTACTAGAAATCAAATTTACAGGGAATTTTTCGTATGGCTAACAAAAATAATTAGCATAGGAACTTGTTCAAAGTAGTATTATAAAAAGAATCATAAACTAAGTTGTTAGAGCCGAGAATAATCTTAAATAAATAAATCAACAAAAGTAAAGAGAGAATAAATGCCAAAAATAATAAAGATTTTCAGTAATATTATTTAGCCATTCAATAGCTAACTCGAGCCCCTTTCACTGCAGATCTCAGCCCATATTGACATGCAAATCGATGACCAAAGTGGACGACAAATTCATCTATGAAACAGAGAAGGACAACTCGCACAACAAGCTGCTCAAGCAGATTCAGGGCGGCGTGCGGCTGAGGCCCACGCAGACAAACGATCGCAGCAAGCCCATATTGGAGGGTCTGCGCAAGTTCCGACGCCAGATGACCATCGAGGAGCAGCTGCACAAGTCCCTGTCCAAGGTCAATATGCTGAGCGAGGCGCCCAGCAGCCATGCGCTGAACAGTGCGAACAGTGGGTCGGCGAGCGCTGCGGGCAGCTCCAGGCCCAGCATTGTCTCGACCATGTCCATCGATGAGGAGAGTCCCGATGAGCTGGACGATATCGACAAGTTGCGTGACGATTTGCAGAGCACCAAGCAGATGCTGGCCCTGGAGCTGCGCAACCGTGAGGCGCAGGAGCGTGAGAACAAGAAGCTCTTGGCCAAAATACGTACGCTCGAGACGGAACTGGAGCGTGAGAAGTCGCGCGAAAAGAATCTTGAGTATGGCTCCAATGTTATTGTGGCCACCATGGATCCCACGCCCACAACCGAGCAGGCGTATGTCAACTCACTGAAACGCGAAGTCGAGGACGCGCGCAAGGTGTCCAAGGAGGTGGAGAAGAACTATCACGACCAGGGCAAACTGCTAGTCGAGGCGAAAACAGAAATCGAGGAACAAAAGCGACAGATACAATTGCTCGAGCGCAAATTGGCAGCTGCTTTGCAGGTAAGCGACAGCCCAGTGGCAGGTGGGGTGGGCGGGGCCGGGCGTGGCACAAGTCGCACAACATGCCGCGTGTGTGTTGTCAGCTGCAGTTGTTGTTGTTGCTCTAGTTGAAGTCAGCTGAAGAAGCCAGTTGTTCTTGTTGGGGTCATAACCCACACATGTATCCACATTTTCAGCGCCGCCTGTGCCGCCGCCTCCCGAGCGACAGCTCAGCCTGAATGCAAAGAACCAAAGAAAATCATCTAAAAAACCAGCTAACAAAGCAATCGCAATTAGTCGCTTTCGGAATGATTGTACTTGTAGTTGTAGTTGTAGGTGTAGGTGTAGTTGTTATTGCTGTTGTTGTTGTTGTTGTTCTAGTTGTAGCAGCACACACGATAAATAATTACACATCAGCTGACAACACGACACACATTTTGGATACCTTCGAGGGGGGGGAGGGAGCTCGCTGAGACGTAATGCGGGTTGCTGATATTCCCAGCGCCAATTAGCGCGATTTGCTGCTGAAGTTTTTTTTTTTTTTTTTACCAATTTGTTTTTGCTCGAGTCCCGCTTTTCCTTTTTAGTTTTCTCTCTCTTGTTTGCTTTCTTCATCTCTTGTCAACTAAGCCCCTCTATCAACTTCTTTGCTTGTCCATAGCCCGCACTATTTTCTACACAGCTATTCCTTTCTGACCAACCTCTCTCTCTCTCTCTCTCTCTCTCTCTCTCTCTTTGTCTATCATCAATTAAAGTTGCTCTACTTCGCATGTTTTTACTCTTACGTCCTATTGTGCATAATACCTCCTTTGTTGCTCATTCAATCTACCGTTCAGATCTTAGCACTTTCAGTCTCCAATTCGCTAAGTACATACCTCTCTCTCTCTAACCTTCACTTACTATAATTTACTTATACATATCATTCGTTTCTTGATTCTATTTACATATCAATCTTTCCCTAAAAAACTTATCTTCTATTGCTCATCGCACTCTCCTTCCCATTTATGATCGCATTCTTTCCTTCCATACATTTCTCTCACCTACATGACCTTTTCGTATTCGCTCTCAGATATATACAGTTGATATTTAGCTGCCAATCGGTAACCCCAACTATGTTATCTCAGCTTCTCTCCTTCGCAGTCTCTCATAATGTTGTGCGCACTTGACATACACATCCAATATTTTGGTAAAATTAAGAATATCGATTTAGAAAGACAAACAAAGACAAATGCTTTTGGCTTCTACTCTGAATCCGCTTACTAAAACCATTAACCGATTTAACCAACCCAATCGCTGTTTATATAAGGCAAATACGACACCAAGCACTAACAGACCGCGCATTAGTTTTCGCTTTGCTTACGACGACGAGGACGAGGACGATGATTACTACGGTGAGAAGGGGACCAATCATAAGGTAATGCCCATAGTTGGATTCGGCCAGGTCTAGCTAGTGACGACGTGATTTCCTAATGCTCTCATACATATTGTGAATGTAGGGCGGCACATTTGATGGCTCGAGAAGACCCAGCGATCCACTTTTTGGACGCGACAGCTCACCCGAACTGGAGCTGGAGCTGAGCGAGAGCGATCCCGATGAGCCGGAGGAGAAGAAGACAGAGCGACGCGAGCGACGAATGGGCAAGGAGGTGAAGGTGCTGCGCAGCAAGCTAACCAAACTGAAGGTCAAGGAGGAGGCGGCCAAGAAGGAGAAGGATGCACTGAAGCAGGCCATGAAAAAGAATCATGTTATACTCAAGTAAGCATTTCCAAATAATGCCATGCTTTCGTCATTAAGATTTCGATTTTGCAGAGAGGAGAACAAAAAGTTCAAGAAACTGGAGAAAGAGGTGCAAAAGATGGCCGCATCGATGAAGCTGGACGAGGACGAGCTCGATGGCGAAGACAAAGAAGAAGAGGAGACAGCCGAAGAGGAACAGCAGGAGGAAGAGGAAGAGTCCGAGGAGGAGTCAGAAGAATCCGAATCAGAGGAGAGTGAAGCAGAACCGGAAAGTGAATCCGAAGCCGAAGTAAGTGCCACGCAAAATATTTTCAAATATATAAAGCAATATACATACATACATATGTACATGTACATACATATGCGAGACGCGCAACGCCGAGCAGCACCACATACATACATACATATATAGATTGATATATAAATATAGGGATATATGTGGACTTACCTCTTTCTTTGTAGGATGCTCCCAATTCCGCCAAGAAGAGCAACTTGGAGCCGCGCGTGAAGAAGCACGAGAGTCGCTTTGCGGCAATGAAGAAATGCAATGTGCTGCTGCAGGCGAACGTGGATAATTTGCAGGATCAAATTTCACAGGTGCGCTCCAGGGCTACCAATCTGCAGGATGAACTGGATGCGGTTATTGCCGATTTGGGTTTCTAGGCCCATGAGTCACAATATGAAGAAGACGAACAACGACAGCTGCAGCTCCCCAGTAAAAATGAATCGAATGTACAACGTGTTTGTTTACTGTTTGCGTAGTGTTCCTTTTTTTCAATGTATTTAAATATAATTATATTATCGACATATGTAAGTTCAAGGCACACTATGTATGTATTCACAAGCACATCAAGCACTTTTGCAAATTGGTTGGATAATTTTGTATTTTAGTTGTTTCATTTGCTCACCGGTATATTGCGTTGTTTTGTTTGTTTTATGAGTATTTATTGCGTTCGAGTACTTTTTTTGTTGTGGCAACCGGTGGCGCCGACGCGTTGCTAGCAGGGTAATTAACACAGAGAGGTTGCGCTATGTTAATCAACTGTTATTTGCATGACCTAAACATGAAGATGTGACGTCAAAAGTACTTCTGACTCGCCATCTACACATTTATTGCAAGGGCCAACATCTGTTGCCGCTGCATACCTTCTATAGATGTTGTTTTGAATATAAGCTTCCTATTCTATTTCTTTAATGCACATGCTCAGCTGAAATAGCCAGTGGCGGCAGAAACTGCATTAAGTTTCGCTATGTTAACCGCATGTAAATATTGGGTACTTAAAATGTACCCAAAACATGAAACACGAATCGAATAGGCAGTATCGAAATTCGCACAGCTGTTGTCGCATAGCGCCCTCTATGGGGAAATCTCATGAAGGCACAACGACTAGAAATCAAAACTCCAATTAACGGACTTATCTTTTCAAATTAGTATTTATTAATAAGATTTTGTCGAAATATTTTAGTATAAGCATGTATAACAATGTACAAAACAACAACTCAGTGAATTTGGCTAAACTAAACCATTAGATTTATGTATATATATCATAGTCATATGTATGAATATTTGTTGATGGTATGAGTATCACGCTCGAACTTTAAAACTTTATGCCTATATATATATATGTACGTAAAAGATGTGGATATTTATATAATGCGTCAATTTCTTTAAGTACTAAGCTGAGCTCTATCAATAATCCAAAGTCTAAGTCGTGTATATGAATTAGTTATTCGTATCGTAGTTGGTTGAGCATTGTTCCCCGATGCCCAAATGTGTGTTTGATTTGAAACGATTTGAGAAACCACTAAAATAACTAAAGCATTCCATGAACCACTACAACTACAGCAACTATTTTGGTCTACTCCATCAGTATGAGACGCAAACGCTTACGCAGGGACGACTCTCGGGGCAAGGCCATCGCCCATTTCTTCATGGCCGTCAGAATCACGGAGCTGACGACCATCAGGGCGCCGCACAAGGAATAACCGTTGGGCGCCTCGCCAAAGAAGAGGATTTGCCAGATGAAGGCGAACACGATATCGGCACAGCGTGCAATGGCCACTGGACCGGCCTGCTCCACCTGCAGTGAGAGCGTCAACAGGATCTGGCCCAAGAAACTGAAGATGCCCAGGATGACGACGAGCCAGCGATCCCGTCCACAGCTCGGCCAGCAGACGGCGCCAATCGCGCCGCACACAATCAGAGTGTATATGAGGGCAATAGCTCCAAAGTTCGTCATAATCACAGAGAAGTGAAGATTCTTCAGAGCACGCAGCAATATATAGACATTGGCACCGAAAAGCGTCGAGGATATGGCAGCGACTGGTCCCCAGATATCATATGTTTTATCCGTATACTTTTCACTGTCCAGATCCGGCGTCGCTTCGCCAAAGACCAACGGTGGCCGAGTGATTAGCACCACGCCAAGAAGCGTAATATTGATGGTCAGCACATTGAAGAGGGTGCACGGCTCCTTGAGGAAAGCCCTTGCGAAGATCGCAACGAACACAGGTGTGGAGAAGATGATGACGCTGGCATCGGCCAGGGGCATGTGCCGAAACGCATAGAAGCTGAGCATCAGGCCCGTGGTGCCCATGAAGCAGCGCAGCAGCAGGATGACACGTTTGCCCTCCGGGAATACTGGCTGCTTGGTATAGATGAGTATTGGGATGGTGGGCAGGAGAACGCCCACAAAGCGGAACGAGGCCAATTCCATGGGATTGACATCGACCAGGCCCTTGACAATCACCGAGCACAGCGAGAAGAACAGCGAAGAGAGCGTAGCGAGTATTATTCCCAAATACGGGCAATTTACGCGCGTTTTAATCTGTTCCAGCCATTGATTTGATATATCTCCCGCGCGCGTTCCGTCCTCAAATTGGTGCAGTTCCAAATTCTCTGGCATTTTACCGCTTTCTTATTTAAACTAAACTACTTTTCGATTTACTGGCACATTCTGCAAACATTTTAAAGGTTAGAGACGAAGCGTCACAAAGTACCGTTATTGAATTATGTTACCTTTTTTTGTATTGGATTGCGCTGGAAAAATCGATTTTTCAATTGGACAGCAGTGTTCTTGGAAGCATGCAGCTACGGCTGCGAAAATACAACATTTCTTAACTTAACATGACTGATTGCGTTTTTCCGAGATTAATAGTTTTTATTAATTAAGTTTATATATATTTTTTCATACACAATCATTTGATTTGGGCTCGCACTATATTATAAATTAATTAACAGCTGGGCGCGCAGTAGGTTAACAGCACTAACCAGAGAGCTGGTTAGTGTTAACAGTCAGTGTCTGTTAATAAGGCTGCCAACCTACTTGAATGCCCAACGAACAAATGCTAATCAACTGAACAGAAAAACAAACTGTTATCGATTACTTAAACTACATACGAAAATGTATAAGTTCAGTTCGTGACATAATAGAAAGGCCGAAGTACTCTAGTTAAACTTTGATTTTAAAAATTATTTAGCATCAAAGCATGCGAGGCAAAAATCGTGGCTCCTTATGAAAAAACAATTGTATATATCATTTAAATTTTTTTTGGGCGGCACGGCGAGTAGGCTGCGTTAACATTCTTTATCGGTCAATCGGGGGCGTAGTTTATTGTAATTTCGATATATTTGGTAATTTCATCAACACTTTTCGAGTTCAACTTAGTCATGAGCAACCAAACCGTTAACACCAACACCAAGCGCTGGGCCCTGCTCGCCGCTAGTCTGGGCCTGGCCTATGTGCTCGTGCGGCACAGGCAATCGATTTGGGGCGTATTGGGACGCAGTCCCTTTCAGCTACAGCATAAACGCATTGAAGTTATCAGCTCGGTTAACGAGTCACAGCGCATTCTGAATGAACTTAAGAGGTAAGTAAGAGTAAATTGAAATAATATTATATGAAAATATGCTTCCACATACCTGCAGCCATTGCGAGTCATTTAAAGTGATTGGCTTTGATTGTGAATGGATTACTGTTGGCGGCACACGTCGACCTGTTGCTCTGCTGCAGCTGAGCTCCCACAAGGGCCTCTGCGCCCTATTTCGCTTGTGCTGCATGAAGCAAATACCTAAAGATTTGCGTGAATTGCTCGAGGATGATGCCGTGCTGAAGGTAGGCGTCGCACCACAAGACGACGCTATGAAGCTATCGCATGATTATGGTGTTGGCGTTGCCAGCACCTTTGATTTGCGCTACATGGCCGTCATGGCTGGGCACCAGGCCGAGGGCCTAGGCAAGCTATCACAAACTCATCTCAATACAGTGCTCGACAAGAATTGGCGTCTGGCCTGCTCCAACTGGGAGGCTCCACAACTGGATTCCGCACAGCTTAATTATGCCGCCAATGATGCACTGGCCGCTGTTGCTATTTTTCAGAAGCTATCCAAAGATCTGGAACCCCGTACCTTTTGGGACTGGCGTGCTCCGAAATTCGAGCAGTTGCGCCCAAAAATTGAGCCATTTCTAGATGTAGATTTTACTAAAGGCTTTGTCTCTGGCCTCGGCAAGACCCTATCGACAGACACTCCCTCACATCCACTAACAGGCAAGTCTAAGCACAAGCGCAACAAGAAGCATCAGCAGTCGCAGCAGCAGCAGCCGCAACAGCAGCAAGTTCGCAATCTGGGCACTCAGTCCAAGGCTTTCTATGACAATTGCGTGCTGGAGGCGCCCGATGGCGAGCTGCTCTGCACTATTGATCGTCGCAAGGCCTCTTGGTATTTGAACCAGAATCTAGGCACTCAGGTCAGCGAGCAGCCGTTCACAGTGCGCTTGAATTTCGAGCCGGCAGGTCGAGCTGTCGGAGACGTGGGCCGCTACTATCAGACGCCCAAGGAGAATCAATGCGTTGTATGCGGACGTCGAGATGCCTATATACGAAAGAATGTCGTGCCACGCGAATATCGCAAACATTTTCCGGTTGTTATGAAATCACACACATCCCACGACATACTCCTGCTCTGTCCCAGCTGCCACCAATTGAGCAATATATCGGACAACAAGATACGTAATAAGCTCGCAATGACCTGCGAGGCACCATTCGGCCATGGCGAGGGCGTCTCCAAGTACCATGATGATCAGCAGCTAAGGTTGGTATCGATCATTGCGATCCGCTTGCCCCCCTAATGCGTAATCCTTTTCAGAAACGTGAAGTTAGCTGGGAAGGCTCTGCTAATGCAGAGCGATCGTATGCCCAGCCAGAAGGTAACACAGTTACAGAAGACCATTTTGGATTACTATACAGATGTCACTGAGATAACCCCAGAGCTGTTGCAGAAGGCCGCTAAATTGGATTGCCGTGTGGCCAACGAAGATTACTGCCAGCACGGCAAGAAGGTCGTCCAGGTATATCGCGATAAGCTCGGTGGTCTCGTCGAGCTGGAGCGTTTGTGGCGGGAACACTTTTTACACACTATGCAGCCCAAATTTTTGCCCAAACTATGGAATGTCAATCATAATGCCAATCGCTTAGAGGTGCGTGCCAGCGAAGGGCGCATCGACAATGAAGATTTGGTTGTGGCAGGTCTAGAATCAGTAATTAGTGTAAAGAATATAGCTAGATCGTAACAGTGTGATAGTTTTTGTTTTTGTATATGTTTTGTACGTATTGTATTCAAATAAATTATAAATTGGCTTTCGCTACGTATAAATTACAAGATTCCAAATTCATGTCAAAACAAGAAAGATGATTTTGCAGTCGCGTGCACACCGACTGCACAATACTCTGTTTACGTACAACGGTCAAACTTAATATATTATCTATATATGTCACTAGGCTAGGAGCAATCGATCTATTAAAATATATTAATAGTGGTTTAACTTAATTAAGATTAGTTACAAAATGTTCTGTGATAAAAAGGTCTTTAAGACATTATTTTTTAAGATATTTTTCATATTCCTATACAATAAATTTAATTTAAGAAGTTATAAAAACCTATTTTACAAAAAGTGGTTACTATTTAATTGAAATTTGAAACCTAGTCAGAATCTTTGATGCATCGCAATACCTACATCAATTAGGAATATAATTTTTATCTTTACAAGACAATAAACATTTTTGAAAAGCAATAATAAATCAGATTTTTTCGATGCTAGTAATTTAGGCACCTTAGCTTCGCGCCACGTCAGTGATTCACAAAAATTATATTTAAGAATTAACTAAATTTGTAATTTTGTTTTAAACAAAATACGAAATAAGCGGACAGACATTGCTCCAAGCTAATAAACCCTACTCACATTGTAAACAGAGTATTTTTAACATCATAATTTATGGCATTGGTCTAAGAGCATCTCCTAACTGACATAACTTAATATTTAAGCTATATATAAACTTGAAGCTAACATATATATACATAAACATATATATATATATACCGGATAATACACTATATACACGAAATATTACAGCAGCGACGCTTTGCTATATAAACTCAAAGCCCTCGTATTTATAGTCCGTCTCAATACGTGCCTCTGGCAATAATGTTTTGCCCTCCACGCTGAAGGCCGTCACAAAGGTGGACGTTTTGCCGTTAAGCTCTTCCGATTTGAGTGCTACGATTATAGAGTCCTGTGTGTTGGGCAGAAATTTAAAGCTGGAAAAACCGTGAGTAGGCGCCGTATTGGCAGCATCCAACTTGACAGTCTCTATAACATTAAAGTGCTCGTCCGCAGAGATTAGAATATTGCATCCCATATGCTCGTCCATGGTTTCATTATATCTATGGAGCATAAAGCATTTATTAAATGCCAAAGAGTATTATTACACACGACTTACTTTTCCTTGGAGCAGCGTCGTGGCAGAAAATACCAGCGCTGGTGCACCTCTGACCAGACGCAGCTCTCGTGTATCATGTAGCCGGGCCAGCTTATCTGGAGAGATTCAAGGCGCAGTTTCTTATAGTTCTCCACCCAGTTTAAGGATCGCACTTCGCCTGTCATGCTGATAGCCTTCACATACATGGGATTATTGTTTTCGTAGTCACCCATACTAGTTGTCCACTCTTTGCCCATGGAGCCCACATACAGAGTGTGCTGCTTTACCGTTGCCCACTCTGATTTGAAGCCCTTGGCATTGTGGCCATTACCGTCGAGCAATATTACCCAGGGTATGACCTTGTCATTGATCAGTTCGTAAATAAGCCCAGTTCGATCATCGAAACTCAACAGCTTTCCATTAAATGTGACTAGCTCGGAGAGCTCCATGCCACGTCCCTTCAGTGCGAACGAGGATTCCAAGGCTGTGGGCGCGCCTGCATCCCAGTTTATTTGTAGCTCATGCTTCTTTGGCAGATACGTGAGATAGCCCTTCTTTAGATAACTTCGCCACGTTGTGCTGCCATCACCCTTAACAACTTTCGAGCTGGTATCTAGATCTGCTATCATGGCAATCCGATAGCTGATTACGCCGCCTTGCACGCTCAGAGGTTGCGTCAATGGATACGTTGAGTTGTAGGCTATCGCGAGCACAGAGGTGGCTTCACTGGCATATTGAGAGCGCAGCCAGTATCCATCGGAGGAGCTGCGACTACCTTGGTGCGCGTATATAAAGAGCAATACTAGAACCACAGCACAAAACACAAGCAATGCAAAATGATAATTAAACCGGACCGTGCGATTGCCAATTCGATAGCTTGGCGTACGCAGGGCGGTACGCCAGTCACGCATTAGCATGGTGCGTGGCGAGTTTTCCAAATCCCTGAACGCGTACGCCGTTTTTTGCATCTATAACTTTGAATTTTGGCAGCGTGGCAGCGAACTGGCAGTGGATGCAATCAACAAATTGAGGCGATGTGTCCGTTTCTGTTTCTGTTGTTTGGATTCCGCTGACGATGACATATCGATTACTGCCAACAAAACAAAACAGCTGATTGTTTGCTTTCGATAGTGAGACTGCAACGACTATTGTATGCGATTCAAATCGTTTTATATTTAACTGGAAGATTTGAAAAAATATATAAGAGATCATAAATGTAAGAGCTTAAACCTTTAATTATTTACCGAATACGGCCTAAATTTTGCAAAAATGAACGTGGCAGGGATAAATTTGCTACCTGTGTGGAACAGCTGATGTAATGAATTTTAAAAGTAGTTCAATTAAGAGATTCATTTGAACCACTAACCTGGTTCTATACAGTGCTGCCAACTTTTTACCAGAATAAAAAGCTGTTTTTAGATGGAAGAAAC